GCAGCGGGAGCGCAGTGGGCGCTTCCCCAGGGGGTGGCCGCTGAGCTGCGCCGCTGAACGCGGAGCCCTGGGCCTCGCCGGGCCGCTGCCCGACCCGAGTCAAACCCCAGCGGGCTGCGGGTGCCGTGGGCGGAGGGAGGCTGAGCGCTCCGGAGGCTGCCGAACTTGCCTGGACCCGAACTCACGAGGGGCGGTAGTGCCGAGGAGCGACTCCGCTTCCTCCGTCCGTCCGTCTGTCCGCCCTGCAAGCTTGGACGAGGCTCCCTAGGACCCTAGAGGACCATGCACTTCTGTTAGCCGCCCCCCGCAGGTGCTTCGGCCCGGGGCTGAGGGACCTGCCCCGTGTCTGCCCAGCGGGGACAGCGTTAGGGAGCGCCTGCCGCGGGGCGGGGGAGGAAGGGCAGGGGCGGGGGTGGGAAGGGGAACGGAAAAGCCGCCTGCCAGCTCCCCTGCCCGCCGTGCCGTACCCGGGGTCCGGGGCGTTGGCGCCAGTGTGAAGTGTAAACTGCTACTTGTCAATCAAAATCTTGTGGGAGGAGATGATGAGCTTTGAAAAAGTGTCTCGGCTGACTTTGCCACCATTTCGTCACAATTTAGGAAAAGGTGATTTGTAAGTAGTGGGAGAGCGCGTCCTGGCGTTCTTAAGCGTTCCACCTCCAGGAACCTTCCGGAGGCCGAGTGCAGAGGACAGCCAGGCCTCTGGTGCCCCTTGAGCCCCTCTTTGGACTGGACAACAAACGCCGAAGAACTTCATATGAGTTTAGTACTTAATGTTTATTGGGAAAAAATAAATAAAATGTGCTTAACAAAGATACGCAGAGAGCTACAACTTTAAATGTTTGAAAATGAAATAAAGATCTGATTATACAAGCAGCACATTTACCCCGCACTACTGAAAGGTGACTTCTTCACCAAGCCAATGTAGACAGGGAGAGAAAGAGTTTATTCTTTGATCTATAACGTACCTTGAATATTACCTGGTGTTTTTTTTGGGTCACACGTGTGGGAAATCGGTAGCTTTTTCAGGTTCAATTTAGAGAATTCTTTTTTTTTCTTTACGGGGATTAGTCGCAAAGCCTCACATATGCTAGGCAGATGCTCCCTCCCTGCACTCCATCCCTAACTGGAGGTCTAATTAAGTGCTTTGTGTCTGTTCCACAGGGCCCCATTTAGGTAATGCAAAGGAGTGGAAAGAAAGGTGCCTAAACCCCCTGGACTTACAGGCACAGTTTCTAGCTCTGGTCTTCAACTGTGGCTGCATATCAGCAGCACTTGGGAAAGTTTGTTGTTGATGGGGGAGGTGGTGGGGCCGCTTAAAAATACTGCTGATTAGGTGGATTCTGATTTAATTGATTTGGAGTGAGCCAAAATCATGTTGGCGTTTCTTTTAAGCTCAGCTAATTCTGATGTTCAGGGTGGACTGAGCGCCTCTCCACACTCGCAGAGAACGCAGTGTAGTGAGGACAATGAAGAGTTTTCCAAATCAGAAATTCACGTGGAAAATCTGAGCCTAAAAGGAGACCCTTACTCTTATCTATTGTTAAAGACTCAAAAATGTCGAAGAGTGATAGTAGTTATTATTCCAGCTTTGAAGGGAAGGGCTGGTAATGTACCGAAAAAGTACAAAGGAATAATTTTGAAAAAGGAAAACCATCAAAACTAAACAAAGGAAGTGAAAACAATAATTTAAGACATTTATGACTAAGATGAGAAAGGATTTAATATTGTTGCTATTTAAAGAAATCATATAGATGCTTAAGACCTCAAGGGTTAAATAAAGTCGTTAGATAAATATTCCTTCTTGTGGAAGGAAAATATGGATGTTAAACATTTGGAAAATATGTTTAAATTTGCTCGTCATTAATTTGAGGTGCTGTTTTCTATTCAAAGTGAAAAACAAACAACAACAACTAAAAGGCTAATCCTGGACTAGCACCTAGGGAGCAGATACGGTTCATCTCAGCCAACTCCTAATTTAGAGGGTAGGTGCATGCTTAGACGGCTATGGGCTTAAATCCAGGCTGCTGGTAGGTAGTGACCTTAGGCAAGTTGGTTGATCTCTCTAGAGCTCAGATTCCTCATCCAAAAATGAAGACATGCCTGTCTCAATGGTACGTCCCTATAGTCGTAGCTACTGAGGAGGCTGAGGCAGGCAGATGTCTTGAACCCAGGAGTTTGAGCCCAGCCTGGGCAGTATACTGATGTCCCCTCCTCAGGAAAAAAACAAACAAAAAAATAATAAGGATACCAAGAGCAGTTTCCTAGGGGGCTGCTGGGGCTTGGCACACAGTGTAGTTATTTGGGTTGCCTGAGAGTCACCATAGTTGTCCTTGTAAATCAGCATCACTAAATTGGGGAATAGTTTCACAATGCATATGAGAAACTGTTAAAAGGCTAATTTTGGTTAAAAGTTGTATTTCTAAAATAGTAGTTCCCTTTCATTTCAATATGGACTATGTGAAAAGAACACATTCATTTCAGATATATGTAACATCATTTGTTATAAGGAGATAGGAAATAGGGAGATTCTGGAAATCAGGTTACATGAAAAAAGAAACAACTTTTCACAGTGTTTAACTAGGTAGGATGCTCCTATCCTAAAGAAGCTCCAAGTTTCTTGATCCTGGGTTGGATGTAGCCTGGATCATTTTAATGATCATTTGTTGAGCACTACACATGTCATCAAGTTTAGCCTTCTCAACAATTCTTGGAATTATCCTATGACCCCTAATTGATTGACAAGATGCTTGAGGCAAGGCGAGATTCAAATTTAAGTTGATCTAACTTTGAGTCTCTACCTCTTCCCTGGAAAGCTCTCTAGAAGGACATCAAAGAATAAGAAAAAATGATGTGTAAACCATCATTGATCTGGAGAATAAACTGGGCCTGGTGGCACATGCCTGTAATACCAGCATTTGGGAGGCTAAGGCAGGAGGATTGCTGTGAGTTTGAGCCCAGCCTGGGCTACGTAGTGAGACCCTGTCTTAAAAAAAAAAAATCTAGAGAATAAAAAGCTTCTGTGGATATGTATTATATGGTTTGTTCTCACTGAGATAAAAATAAGGGATTTAATCTGGCTAAGTGAACAGTTCCTGAGTTAACTGTTTAGGTGAGTTAATGGGGAGCTTTCATATATTGCAAAGTAAAACAAACCAAGTTCATACCTTTTTAATTGTTACTAGTTTACTAGTTTTTTTTTTTTTTTTTTTTTTTTTTTTTTTTTTTTTGTCTTTTGCCTAGAAGCTGGTTGCTAAGTTATTTTCTCTTACAAAGAAGATCACTATAGAATGGCCAGGTGGTTTAAACAAGCCCCTGTTCTTTAACTTCAGATAATATCAGTTCACTTTTTCTACCGAATTGCCAGGATGTAACTTTAGAAACCACATCATTCTTTTTTGTGGTACTGGGTATGGAACCCAGGGCCTTACCTGTGCTGGGCAAGTGCTCTATGAAAGAGCCATATCCATGCCCCGAGTTTGCATTATCTTTTTGCCATGCTAAGAATATCATATAGCAAACTGGCAACCTGTATGCTTGATTCAATACCAGAGCAGAGGCTTTTTCTGCCTTTCAGGCTGAGACTCACAATGTCTTCATTTCCTGTTTCAAATCTGCCAAAAGGACATTCGGAAAGTCAAACCAAAGTGATAGAAAATAGAACTCCTCAAACCTGATGTACATTACCCAGGGATTCTGCTGACTTCCCACTGTGAATAGATGAACTGGAGTTCTGCATTTCTAACAGTGAAGGCTGAGCTCTGAGCCTGGTGATGTATGAAAGCCGGGCCAAGGGTATAATCTCAGTCTTGTGAGTTTCATCTATGAAATGGATAAAATATGCAAGAGGTGGTGGTGTATGTCTACAATTCCAGTACTGTGGAAGGGTTGGGCAGGAGAATCATAAATTCAAGCCCAGCCCAGGCAACTTAGTGACTTAGAGACTCTGTCTCAAAAAAAAAAAAAAAAAAAAAAGGGCTGGGAATGTAGCTGAGTATGAAGGCCCTGGTTTCAATCCCCTGCCTTGGAAAAAAAATGGACAAAATATATAGTTCATAAGGTGGTCATTATTGAGTAGAAACTACTAATTCAGAGCATATCACATCTTAGCACCTGATGAAAGTACATATTTTTTACACCCTGGATATGAACGGTGTTGACTGAATCTTTGCTTGTAATAGAGACATTTGTGCAGAAGGGGACCTGTGTGTATGTGTGTGTGTGTGTGTGCACATGTGTGCTTTCGTGCAAGTGTACCTTCTTTTATACAAAAAATAATGTATTAATGACCCTATAAATGCCAGAGTGCAGGTACATAAGAAGCAATACTGGTGTACTTTGTCTCTCATTCAGGTGATTTTTTTTAAACTTGTGTTTCTAATTCTTATTAGATTTAGACAATAAAAAGCATGTGGAGTTGAAGATGGACCAAGCTTTGCTCCTCATCCATAATGAACTCCTGGAAACAAACTTGACAGTTTACTGGAAGTCTGAGTGCTGTTACCAGGTATGTATTGTGTTCATAATAACAATTTTGTTTGTGTTAGATGTGATCCTTAGTGCTGTCATATCTAAAGCCTTTTATATGTTAACATCAGTTTTACAGATAAGGAAGCAAATAGGCTATAATAAAGAATTAAAAGAAATATAATCAAGGAAAAGTGCTTAGGAGTGGACAACATCCACTTTTTAACGTTTTTTCCTACCTATCTTTTAAAAAATCAGATCTTGGTGATGAACAGATTGATAGACCACATTATGTTTCTCTCTTTTATCTAATGCATAAGCATCTTGCTGGACTAGAAGAGGAAGGAGACCCCTGGATAACAGGCATAGTGAGAACAGTAAGGAGATTACACACTGAAGGAAAGGCTGTTGTTTCAACAATTTGCCGCATTGAAAATAAATAATTTGTTTTTATTTTATTTATTTGTGGTGCTAGGTTCTTCCACATGGAAGGTGGGTGCACTACCATTGAGCTACACCCCAGCTTCTGTTATTTTATCTGAAAGTTTTACTGCTATTTTAGACCTTGCTTTTTTTTTAAAAAAAGACAGTCCTTTCCTTTATTCATAAAACAGGTACATTTTTACTACATAGTTTCATCCCTTTGACGTACACAACTATTTCATAATTCTGGGCCAGATTCATGATTTTATTGTTATTTGTGTACTGGAATGCTATTGAGTTTTGAGTGTTGACTTTGTATTTTGCTATGCAACAAATTTGGTTATTAAATCTAGGGGTCTTTTGATTGAGCTGTTGGGGTCTTTTGTGTAGAGTATCATGTTATCAGGAAATAATGATAATTTAATTTCTTCCTTTCCTATCCTTATTTCTTTTATTTCTTTCTCTTATCTAATTGCTCTGGCTAACGTTTGCAGAATTATATTGAACAGGAGTGGTGATAGTGGGCATTCTTGTCTTGTTCCTGATTTTAGGATGAAAACTTTACAGTTTTTGTCCATTTAGTATGATGTTGACTGTTGGTTAGTCATTGATGGCTTTTATCAGATTGAGATAAAGACTTGTCCCAGTATTCTATGGAGTTTCTATCATGAATGGGTAGTGGACTTTCTCAAAAGATTTTTTAGTATCTATTCAGATGATCAAGTGGTTTTTGTCTTTGGTTCTGTTAATGTGATATATTATATTTATTGATTTGCATATGCTAAACCATCCCTGCATCTCTAGAATGAATCCTACTTGGTCATGGTGTATAATCTTCTTGATGATTTGCTGCATTCTGTTTACTAGTATGTTATTGAGAATTTCTGCATGTATTTTCATTAAGGAAATTATGCTGTTATTCTCTTTATTTGGTTGGATCCTTCTCTGGTTTTGGTATTGGGAATGCTAGTTTTCAGGAATGACTTTGGGAGTATTATTTCCCTTTCAATTTCATTAAAGAGTTTTATCAGTAGTGGTATTAGATCTTCTTTAAATTTCTTGTAGAATTTAGCAGTGAATCTGTCAGGACCTGGCCTTTTTTTTGTTGGTAGTTTTTTAACTACATTTTCAATTTCATGATATTGGATTGTATAGAATTTTTGTATCTTCTTGATTCAGCTTAGGTAATACATATGTATGTAGAACTCTGTCCATTTCTTCTCATTTTTCCATTTTATTAGAGTACCCATTCTCAAAGTTGGTGTTGATGATCTTCTGGTTTCCTGTGGGGTGTGTTGTGATTTCACCCTTTTCATTTCCACTTGCATGGATGTGAAGCTTTTTCTTCCTTTTTGGATACGTTTGGCTAAGGGTTTGTCTACCTTATTTAATCTTTCAAAGAACCAACTCTTCAATTCACTGATTTTTTTGTACTGTTTTATTAGTTTCAATTGCTTGAATTTCTGCTCTGATCTTTATAATTTCCTTCCTCACACATGCTTTGGGTTTATGTGGCTCTTGTTTTTCAGTAACTTTGAGATTCAACATTAGGTTATTTGAGCTTGCATTTTTTTTTTTTTTTTTTGATGTGGGAATTTACCAGTATAAATTTCTCTCATAGAACTACTTTCATTGCATTCCATAAGTTCCAGTATGTCACACTGGCGTTATTGTTTAATTGTAGAAACTGTCTAATTTTTTCTTTAATTTCATCTATGACCCATTGGTCATTCAGGAATGTTATTTAATTTCCATGTATGTATATAGTTTTTGTGGGGGTTTTTGTCCATTGATTTATAATTTATTGCACTATGATCTGTTAATATGCATGGGATAATTTCAAACCTTTTGCATTCACTTGAGTATGTTCTTTGAGCTAATATGTGGTCTGTTTTGGAGAACATCCTGTGTACAGCCAAGAAGAATGTATATCCTTTGTTTTGGGGTGGAACACTTACGTTTATATCCACTAAGTCCATTTGTTCAAATGTTTGGCTTAGTCTGATATTTCTTTGTTGATTTTTTTGTCTAGTTGATCTGTCTTTTTCTGATAGTGAGGTCCCCCATTAAAATTGTATTAGTGCTGATGTGATTTTTTTCATATCCATTTGTGTTTGTTTTATATAATTTGAGTATGCTGGTATTTGGTGCGTATATATTATATGTATGATTGTTATGTGTTCCTCTTGGATTGCTCCATTAACAAGTGTGTGGTGACTTTTCTTGTCTCTTCTGATCAGTCTTGGCTTGAAGTTCACATTGTCTGCAAGTAGAATAGCTACCCCTGCTTTTTTCCAGGTTGATATTGCATGAAATATTGTTATCCATCCTTTGACTTTCAGTCTGTGAATTTCTTTTTTAATTCAGTATGTTACTTCTGTGCAGCATATTGTTGGATCTTACTTCTTGATCCATTCTGCCAATCTGTTTCTTTTGTTTGATGAGTTGAACCCACTCACCTTGATATTTATAAGTATTAACAACGTTGTCATTTTCCTGTTGGTTCCTTTTTTTTCTTCTGTTTAATTGCTTGCCTTGCTTGGTGGACTAATTCCATTGGGGTTCTTGGAATGGTTGTCTTTAATATCTCTTTCTAGAATATCCTTCAGAACTTTTTTGGAGGACTGATTTGGTGGTCATGAATTTCTCCAGTTGTTCTTTATCATGGAAGAATCTTATTTCTCCATAATTTTGCAGAATCCATCAATCTGGGTTGGAAGTTGTTTTTCTTTATGGCTTGAAATACTTTACTCTATGCTCCCCTTGACTTAAGGGTTTTGTGTTGAGGAGGCTGTTATGATTCTTATGGGTCTTTCTTTTTTTTTTGAGACAGGGTGTCACTATGCAGTTTAGGCTGGCCTTGAACTCACTTTGCAGCCCAGGCTAGCCTCAAATTCCCAGAAATCCTCCTACCTCAACCTCCTGAGTGCTGGGATTACAGACATATGTCACCATGCTCAGCCTTTGATGGGTCTTTCATTATAGGTGATTTATTTCTTTTCTCTAACAGCTTTCAATATTCTGTTCTTGTGTTGAATTTATGGAATCTTGACTATTAGATGCCTTTGTGTATTTTTTGTCTAATCTTAACTATTTGGAGTTTTGTATGCCTCACTATCTGTATCTCAGGTTCTTTTTCTGTGCTTAGAAAGTTTTCACCTATTACTTTGATGAACAGGTTATTTATACCCTTTGTGCTATCTTCTGATTCTTCATTGATTCCAATTAATCTTGTATTAGTCTTCTTGCATCATCTAGTAGCTGTTGGATTGATATTTCTTGGTCCTTTGCTATTTTTAAGAGCCTTTTCAGTTTATCACCAGCCTCAAGACTGTTCTTTTAATATCAGTAAGATACTGGCAAGCAGAATGTAGCAAATCATTAAGAAGATTATACATCATGACCAAGTAGGATTCATCCTATAGGTGCAGGGATGGTTCAACATATGCAAAGGAATAAGGATAGGAAAGGAAGAAGTTAAATTATCATTATTTGCAAATGACATGATACTTTACATATAGGGTCCAAAAAACTCCACCAAAAGACTTTTAGATTTAATAACCATGTTTAGTAGTGTAGCTGATACAAAGTCAGCATTCAAAAATCAATAGCATTCCCGTACACAAACAACACTGAGAGAAAATTAGGGAGGTAACACATTTCACAATAGCATTGAAAAAGTGAAATATTTAGGATCAATCTAATAAAGGAAGTAAAAGACCTTAACATTGAAAATTACAGTACTGTGAAAAGGGAGAATGAAAAGGATATTAGACAATGGAAAGATATCCCTTGCTCACTGGTAAGAAGAAGCAGCATAGTAAAAATGGGTATACTTTGAGATTTAATGCAATCTCAACTAAAATTCCATTAGCATACCTCACAGAACTAGAGAAAACATTCCTAAAATTCATTTGGAAACAGAAGAGACCTAGAATAGCAAAAGCAATTCTAGGCAACTGAGGCAAGGCAGGGGACATCACAATCCTTGACTAGAAATTATACTACAAAGATAGTGTGATAAAAACAGCATAGTCAGGCAAAAAAAACAGACCTGAGGATCAATGGGACAGATTAGAAGATGCAGAAACAACTCCAAACACACTCAACCAACTTTTCTTCAACAAAGGCACCAAACACGTTCACTGGAAGAAAGAAAGCCTCTTTAATAAATGGTGCGGGAAAAAATGGCTTTCCACATGCCAAAGAATAAAACTAAGACTAGACCCATGTCCATCACCATGCACTGTACTAAATTCACATGGATCAAAAATCTAAATATTAAAACAGAAACACTAAATCTACTGGAAGAGAGAATAGAACACTTGAAGACGTAGGTGTAGGCAAAGATTTCATGAGCAACACCTTAGTCACACGGGAAATACTGAAAAGAATCAACAGTTGGGATCTCATCCTGTTAAAAAGCTTTTTCATAGCACTGGAAATCACCAACAGAGTGAAAAGACACCCATAGAGTCAGAAAAATTGTAGCTAGTTGTCCCTCAGACAAAGGGCTAATATCTATAACATATAAAGAATTGAAAAAAATCAGACCCCCCAAATTTAAAGACCCAATCCAAAAATGCACATCTGAGATGAATACACACTCCCAGGGTTGGTGTAGCACTCACACCCATAATCCCAGTGTTGGAGCATGAATCAGTCAAAAGCTCTAGAAGCCAGCCTCCATGACTGCATGAGGCTTTGGGAGTTACATCTAGATACAGACCATAACACTGGTCATTCAAGAGATGCAAAACATCATACCACAGTGATATATGTGCACCCGTGTTTATAGTAGCACAGTTTGTAATAGCTCACTCTGGAAATAACCCAAATACCCATCAACTGAGGAATGGATTAAAAAAATACACAAACAACAAACACATGAAAAAATGTTCAACATCATTGGTTACCTTGGTTACTTTTCTCTCATTGCTGAGGCAAAATAACTGATACTCAAGGTTGAAGGAGGAAAGGTTTATTTAGCTCACAGTTTGTGGAGGTTTCAGTCCATTCTCAGCTGGCTCCAAGGCAGAGTGGCACATGGCAGAGGGCAACAGTTCATAGCAACAGAAAATAGCAAAAGCAGCAAGAGCAAAAAGGGAGGAGCAGGAGCAACTCTTTTTCCCTACCTAATATTGTATACAGGCTATCTGTCCCAGGGTTGGTGTAGCACTCACACCCATAATCCCAGCATTGGAGCGTGAATCAATCAGAAACTCTAAAAGCCTGCTCCATGACTGCATGAGGCTTTGGGCGTTACATCTATATACAAATCATAACACTGGTCATTAGAGAGATGCAAGTTAAAACAATGCTGAGATTCCATCTCACCCAGAAAAAAATGGCAATTATCAAGAAATCAAACAATAACAAATGCTGGTGGGGCTGTGGGGAAAAAGAAACCCTTCTCCAGTGTTGGTGGGAGTGTAGACTGGTGTAACCACTGTGGAAATCAGTGTGGAGCTTCCTCACGGATCTAAGATTCAAGGACCCATTTGACCCAGCTATTCCTCTTCTGGGTATTTTTCTAGAAGAAGTAAAAACATCATACCACAGTGATATATGTGCACCCCATATGTATAGCAGGACAGTTTATAATAGCTTACTCTGGAAACAACCCAAATGTCCATCAACTGAGGAATAGATTAAAAAGATGTGGGTTTTTTTTTTTTTTAATGCAATGGAGTACCTTTCAGCTAGAAAGAAGGATCAACTTGGGGCACTTCTTGGTAAATGGATGAACCTTGAAAACACAGTCTTAAGTGAAATAAATTGGAGACACATATGTAAAAATCCTATTGTCTCTCTGCTGTGAGAAACTGAAAGAGTAAATAAAGATGAAAATGTACAATAGATACTGTGAAACAGGGAAATTTGTTCAAAAGGAAAAAGGAGCTAGGGAGGGGGCAGGGGAAAACGAAGGAAGGGAAAAGAAAAAGATTGAGAAAAGAAGGATAAAATGTGAACAAAGGTAAATGAGAGAAAGAGGGGTTGAAGGGAGGGGAGGGGTTGGGAAAGAAGAGGACTCAAGATATATCATGTACAGGCACAGAGACCCTGTGATGAATATGAGCATTATGTATATCTGTAAATGTAGTAAAATGTAACTTACCAACCAAAACAACTACAACTAAATAAGGCAACGTACATTTTTAAACTAATGAAAGCAATAGAGAGCAAGCCGGGTTAGTATAATTATGTAAAAATTTAAAAACTTGTATTTGTAGCCAACAAAATATAACAAAGTAGGAAGAAAAGCACTAGAATGGAGAAATATTTGAGATAGTTCAGTGTTTAATATCACAGTATAAAAGGGCATATTTCTGAGATTATGTTCAAGAGAACTTTAGGTCAGACTGATGGTTTATACCATAGGAAACAAAATAGCAAATATTTTATTTCATCCACTGATAATTTTAAATGTAATATTAATGCTGTGACTAGTAAATGAACAAAATGAAAATTGATCCTGGAAAGGTTATAGAAAAATTAATATATTATTGTAATTTTACTTATGTTGATATTTGGTAAATTGTAACAGGAATCATTAAAATTATTATGTTTAGCAAATAATCTCAGTTTTCAAAATTTACTTAGAGAAAGAAGTGAAAGGATGTTGATCTTTTAAATCAACATATTTACAATTTATTTACTTCTTTATTTTTTTGTTTTTTTGAGACAGGGTTTCACTGTGTTCCCCAGGCTGTCCTAGAAGTCAGTGATCGTCCTGCCTCAGCTTCTTGAGTGTTGGGATTACAGGTGTGCACTACCATGCCTGACTGTATTTACATATTTACAGAAACAGCAAAAAAGCATTGAAACCAGCTCAAGTACCCACAATTATAGTAGTTGATGACATACAATGAATATTATTAAATATGAAAATTAACTAGAGTCATGGAAATTTACTTGCTAAATACTAAGTAAAACAATAAGATGAAAGGTTTAATGAAGGCTATATTTATTAATTTGTGAAAAGTTTATGATAAATAAAAGGTTAATCAATTCCATAGTGACCTAGTCATTGTTTTAATATAAAATCATAGGTACATTTTATCTGAGTTGGAATTTTGAAGTTTTTTTATGAGTATGAGAAAAAAGTCACATCGAGATCTTCAGTTGATTATTCATGTCTTTTAACAACTGAGAGACTTTCTTCCCTTTGATTTTTTGTTAGATTGTTTTTGGTTTTTGAGAGAGGGCCTTGCTGTGTAGTTAAAGCTGGCCTTGAACTTGCAGTGATCCTCCTGGACTCTATGCGAGCTGCCTGCGTGCCTAGCTATACAACTGACAGACTTTCAGAAGCCCGTTGCAGAACTGGACTCTAGCTCAGTGGTAGGGCACTTGCCTCTCATGCCCAAGGCCCTGGGTTTGAGCCCCAGGACAACTAAAGACACCAGATAAAAAACTCTTGGTTCTCCTGTTGTGTTTTTATCTTTTAGTGCTTGTTCCAGTTTCTTGTAAATATTTCTCATGGTAGAAAACCTGGGAAGCCAACCCTTGCACCTGTCTCTATCAGCACCCAACATGGCTCCATTCTGCAAATTAATAATACACTGGAAGAGAAGGAAGTTTGTAGGTTTGTGCCTGCTATTATTGATCTAATTGAAGATTACATTTTTCTTTCTGCTTTGCTTTTCTGTATTGTTTTGTTTTTCCTGTCTTCAAAATACCTTCCTTCTTTTCTTTACACCCCCTCCTCCCTGCCTCTTTCTTCATATCTTTTTCCCCCATCCCCTTGTCTCTCCTTTCCCCTCCTTTCCTCTCCCCTTCTTTGAGACTGGAAGTCTTAAAGACCAGGCTGTCTCACACTCAGTCCTCCTGCCTCAGCCACCAGGCATGACTAAAAACTATTTTTCTTTATTTCTCCTGATCTGCACTCAGGAATGCATATCATTGTGTCTTGATGACATTTGTAAAGTCTAGCTCTTTATATCTTAATCTCTTTATATCTTAATCTAATTTTATCTAATCTCTATAGGTTGGAATACCAATTTGGAGAATTTGGAAACTATTCTGTCTTGATAAAGCACACCCACAATGGAGTCAGTGAAATTGCCTGTGACCTGGTTGTTAATAAGAGTCCAGTTGACAGTAACCTTCGTATGTACATGTTTTTTGTTGACTTTTAAAATTGAGTTTTTAAAGATTTTGGGTGTTGATTAGTCTTTGTAAGGTGAAGCAGTTCATGATACTTTTTATAATTAAAGACCTAGACTATGGATTATCTATACCATTTAGTTATGGTATAATCGTATATATTTTTTTGGTGCTGGGGATCAAACTTAGGGCCTTGTGCGTGCCAAGCATGGCTCTACCTGATGTACAGTATTTTCATTGTGTCACTGACGTATAACCAAAGAGTCCACTTGATGAGGGTGAATTCTTTAGAGAATTCCAGTCTAATGTGGCAGAATGGCAGGATATTTTGCAGGCAACACCTGTCAGCTGAGAGGGGAACTTTACATCGAAGGGGTCCAGGTTTCACCAGCTCTGCACTGCTACCTCCTTAGTTTTAGTGAGGGAATTATCATTAATTTTGTGTGTCGTTGTGATTAAATGACAGAAGACATATTTTAAAGAAATTTTCAGTTTTGAAATACAGTAACAGAATGTCTCAGGTAAAGAGTTCCTAAGTACCCTGTAGCTTGCTTCCCTTATGCCCTTTAATTGTATAACAGTACAGTTATCCCACATACAATTACTGAGACCAGGAACTTAACACATATAGTACTGGTCTATAATCTTATTCACATTTCTCAAATTGTTCATTTTAATCTCCTTTTTTTAGTCTAAGGTTCGCTCAAAGATGTCACATTATAATTTATTTCATTTTTCAGAGGTAGATTAAATGTAATGCCTTGCAACATTGATGCTTATGGTGACATTTTTGGTGATAATCCTTTCTTTCCATAGCTGTGAGTGTCGCGTTCCTTGTCGGTTTAGCGGTCATCATTGCAGTATCCTTCCTAAGGTTCTTGTTGAGGTAAGTAAGGTTCTGGAGAAGACACAACCGGGGGAAATAGAACACAGAGATTATATATTCATAAAGGACAATTTGTTCGCTCAAATAATTATTGTTTTGTCCAGATGGTGTTACCCAAGTCAAAAAAGACATTATTCTTTGATTAACCTATGTTCACCTTGTCTATTGTAGTCCAAGGTATTAGAGAATCAGTGCAGAGTACTAAGACATGGTCTCTGAATATAGGAAAAGGATACAGAAGGTTTTAGTGGGTTTTTGCCTTTTTCTCACATGGGCATAAATGAAGAAAGTGCTTGAGAAGTAATTATTTCCTAAAGAACCTCCTGTTTTCCCGTTCAGTGAGTGGAAGTGGCTTGGGATTCCTCCTCCTCCACCTCTGAGGCCACCCCTTCGTCTAGCTTTCCTGCTCCCTGCCTATTCCCAGACTGGAGTCCGGGGACAGAGGTAGAGAATGAAGGGCTGGCCCTCAGGTCCAGAGCACTGATTCCTTTCCTTTGCACAGAGTGAGGCAGTTTGCAGAGGAATTTGCTCTTTCTCTGCCTGGCTAGCAATCATTCTGGTCAGTTAGTTAGGCTAGGACAAAAAGAGATTCTGGCTTGGTTTAGTCAGCATTCAGAGGAAAGTTCTTTCATGCTTTTAAAGGAGTGAAATTGGATTGAGTTTTCATGTGTTCATCTTCTTAGGGTCTCAGGAAGGACCACATGACTTTATTTGTGAGCTGTATCCAGATTGGAAGAACTAACACCTAACCTCTAAGTAGGCTACTTTGAAACTTCGGGGAGTTTATGCACTCTGATTGGCTCTTAGAAATAGTTTAATTCCACATATGAGGAACCTGACAGTGTATGAGAGTAAAAAGATTACTAGCTGGGCCCCAACTCTGTTTTCAGGACAGGCTAGAATTTTAACAGAAGAATTCTACTTCTTTGGATTAAAGTGTTACCTTGTGAGTCTTTTGATAAGATATAAATGGTATTCCAGTCCAGTGTATTAACGTGTTTTCCTTGGTGTTCATGTGAATGCACCTGTTCCACAACTTTTTAAAGTAATTGACAGCTGTGACCACATATTTGTACATAGAAGAAATTCCATCTAGCACTGCTGTGGAATTGAGATCCTCTTCTCATGTGATTCTGCCTTTCCTGCCTGGGGGCTGAATGTCTTCGTCAGCAGAGCTGCAGTTCCTCTTTCCCTGTCCATAGCTTCCTGATATACCCATGGATGTTCAGGGAAGTCCTATTGTACTGAACCAGAAAAAGCAGAAAAAAAAAACAGAATCTCCATTCCTTTCACTTGAGAACCAGCATGTAGGAGAGAATTTGGTCAGGCTTTTGCTTTGCTTTTTAATATCTTCTTTTTGCTCTTAAGTATGTCTGTTTTAATCTTTTGCATATAATGCTGATGTTAGCAATGCTGAGTAAAGTAGAAATGGGAATTGTGCTGTAGGAGAAAAAGCAAAATTATAAATATATGCATTAAATGGATGGATTATATTTGGATACTGATTTTGAAAAATTAAACTGTAGAGAAAACAAAACAAAAAACCATGAGACCAGGAAACTAAATTGGTTATGTGATATTAAGGAATTATTGCTAACATTTTAAAATGTGATAGTGATTATCATAATTATTTTTAGAAATAAAAACAGTTCATATCTTTTAGAGTAATATGGATGAAATGATATGATGTGGGATTTTCTTTAAAATAATCTGGCCAAGGTAGGGAGGGACTACAGATGACGTATGATTAGCTATGGGTATTTGTTGAAGCTGAATGATGGTGGTTTGTTATATTAGTTCCTCTATCTCTCTGTGTGCTTGAAACTTTTCATGACAAAAAGAAGAGGGGAGATTCTAAGCATTAGATAATTCAGGTGTGGCAAAGTTAATGCAAAACGTGTTGACTTTTGCCAGCCTAAGATAATCTCTTCGACAGTTTTTTCCCCAAGTTAGAAATCTCATTTTAAAGAATAATTAATATATTTACCTTTTAATAATTATTTATAGTAAGTCCCGGACTTAAAACAAGTTCTGTTCATAAGTTTGCAACTTGAATTTTTCTAAGTGGGGGGGTCTTACTGTAAATCAATTTCATGTTATCTGGATTTTTAAAAGTTAAATCAATCACATAACAAAAAGAAACCAATTATGAATTATTACAGTCATTGCAAGGTTGCTTTTATACTTTCTCAGTGAAACACACACATTTTTTTAAATTTTAAAGATAAAGGAACCAAAACATATTAACAAACACACAGACATAAATAAAACAACATAAAAACAATAAAAGCAATACAGAAGTTCAGACAAGGTGATAGGAAATTAGCAGTGGTTGTTGTATTACATATTGGTATCTTCAAATTGGTCACTCAGATAAATATAGGCATGTAAGACTGAGCAAACAATTAAACATTAACTGTTCCTTTCAGTAACGCAATAGAAATTAGTAGTACAATTATCGTAGCTATCTTGGGTATATATATTCATATTCTTCCCTTTCTTCTTTCTTTCCTCTTTTCCCTCATCCCAGTCATTCTTTCCTTTTGAGCAGTTTCTTTCTCTTTCACAATATCTAGTGTACCTTTTAGATTTTATTTACTCTTTCAGGTTCTTACACTAGGGAGACAATACGATGTTTACAAATGTGAATCTGATTTATTTTACTTATGAGTATGGTCTCTAGATGCATCCATTTACTGATAAAAGCCTCAAGTTCATCTTTATTGCTGAGTATTTTGGCAGTATTGGGGACTGAACTCAGGTCCTTTACATTGAGCTACATCCTCAGCCTTTTATGTTTACCTTTTTTTTTTTTTTTTTTTTTTAATGAGGCAGAGTTTCAGTGAGTTGCCCAGACTGAGCTCAAGCTTGGCAATCCTCCTGCCTCAGCCTCTGAATTCTGAGATTACAGGTACATGCCACCACAATTGGCTCAAAGTACACATTCTTGTTATTTTCATAGCTTATGATATAACTGTCATATCCTGTCCTGAGTCATTCCTATATTGAGTGAAATTTGGTTGCTGCCAATTATTTCTGCAGGTTTTTTTTTTTTTTTTTTGTACTGGGAATTGAACTCAGGACCTTGAGTTTGCTAGGCAGATGCTGTACCGCTGAGCTATATCCCTGGCCCATTTTTTTTTGCAGTTTTAATAGTAGTATTAATAAGAACCCTGGCCACAAAAAAAAGTTATTTTGTTTAACCTTCACAATTTTTCATTAAAGGCTCTATTTTCATTCTTGTTTTATTGATGAGGAAATTATGTTTTAAGGTTTGAACATTTACAAGTATGGCTGCTATAAACTTTGATTTCTATATTTATGTTGTTAAAATTTTTTCAGAATGTCTAGTTCCTTAAATAATATAGAATATGGACCTGAAATTAATTTTATTTCAATATGGTATCCAATCATTTTGAAAATTCTGCCAAAGAAGATAAGTTAACTGAGGTTTTTATTTTACAGTTTGGAAGATTTTAATAATTGGGTTTCTAAGGCAATAAATTCTCAAGAAACTGATCATCTCATCAATTCTGTGAGTTGTTAGATTGCATCATGTATTGTCTAGGTTGTTTTCTAACTTTAGAATTTACAATTTCCTATTTAGAAATTATTATGCAGCTTAATATTTTTTTTCCAATCATAATTAAACATTTATATCTATATTGTGGAAGATCAGGTCACAAGTCCTGATTTTGTGTGTGCATGTTTGTGTGTGTGCGGTGCGGGGGATCAAGCTTGGGGCCTAACACATGCTGGGCAAGCATTCTACTACTGAGATGTGCTCCAGGCCTTGTTCTCAGTGTCTTGAAGGATCCATTCCTCTCTTTTCTTTAATGAGGGTGGAAGTCTTTAATGAGGGTGGGCTGCTTTATGATGTAGGATGTGGAGACATTTTTCACCCTGTAAACTGTTGAATTGGTCTAGTTCAGTAGAGGGCTCAAGATTAAAACAAAAAAAAAATAGGGACTTCAATATTAACTTGTGTAAAGGCTGATGGCTCACTGTAAGATTAAGTGTGTCATTAAATTTGTGCCAAAAAACTGTGGGCACGTTTGCTTCTGTGGTAGTACTGGGTACACTTCATGGAACAGAATGTCTTTAGCTTAGCACAATGCACAAAAACAAAAAATGTAGAAACAAACTGCTAGGTGGGATCTTTACAAAAGTAAGTTAAAGCATAGTTCAAAAAAATCTTCATTTCTCCATTCTAAGTCTTCCCTACACTATCAGATAATAAGACTTAGAGTCGGGTTTTGCAGCGCACATCCATAATCTCCACACAATGGGAGGCTAAGGCAGGAGGGTTGCAAGTTTGAGCCCAGCCTGGGCAATTTCAGAAACTTAGTGAATCCTGTCTTCAAAAATTAAAAAAAAAAAGGGGCTGGGGATATAGGTTAGTGCAAAGATTTTGGGTTCAGTCTCTAGTATCATAAAAATAAGTAAAACTAAATTTACTTCTTAGCATTATTAATTTTCATCTCTTTCTTCCTTTTGTCTGAAGGACTTGGGATCCCCTGGTAGGGCAGACCCACTCACTGGTGATCCTCAACCAGAAACGCGATGTCCATCTGCCCCAGGGTACCGCCTCCGCTGCCTGGACACATTCCGGGGGTAAGTGGGTTTCCTATAACATGATGGGGACAGGTCCTCCTTGGATTGCATAATTATACATATGCACACTTTAAGGTCCTTTATCTGTCTTTTACTTTCTAGGCTAGAAAGGGTTTCTTGGATTTAAAAGTAAAAGTCAGTGGCATCTCCTACTCGAAAATTGTCATGATAAGGAGCGGTTCAGTGTCAGAGTTCTTCCCTAGTACCACAAAGACAAACAAAAAATTGAAACAACAAAACAATAAAAAAGCAAAAATGAAAATTTTCATTATGTCCAATATTAGAAGTTGTTAGAGTGGTTAGGACAAGGCCAGAATCAGCTCCTGGTATGTATAATCTGTTCAGTTAAGGTTTTTTGTGTTTGAGCAAGTGGCTGTACTTCCGGCTTTAAACTGTGTCACTGTGTGTATAGTCTTTACGTTGACAGTTTAAAAGATGTGCCAGTGTAGAAACACCAGCACATGGAAGAGTGTGTGTCCTTCACTATTAGCAGAACACCTGGGTCCTCAGTCCCTTCTTGTAGCAGAACCACAATTACTACCGTAAGTTGTTACTGTTATGTGGTTTTGGTAGAAGAGTGAAGGCCAGGAGCAGAATTGGAAAATAAGGTAGAAAACTACATAGCCAAGGTAAATATATTGTTACTAGTATTCCAGTTCCACCCACCGAGGGCCTCTGAACTCCATGATAGCATTTAATGTCTTCGAGCACCTGTAGGGAAGGGCATGCATGAGGCCACCGGATGAGAAGACTTGAGAGCCCCAAGGAGCCTCAGTAGGCCTGGTGTTCATCTCAGGAAGGCGGGAAACTGTCAGAAGGTCGTGGGGAGTGCTGTGTGGGGTTCAGAGAGGGCAGCAGATTAACTAAAAGAAAGAACTATAATCCTTGAAGATGAGTGGGCAGTTTTCCTTAAGTATAATTTTTGACAGTATTAGTGCAAACGGAGTCAGAAGCTCTTTGTGGTTTGGAGGTTTATGCAAGTGTTCAATTTGTCAGCAGAGAACAACAGACCATTTTTAGAGGACATTCTCCCTCTCCTTTTTTACTGTCTTTGTGCCAAAAATTTGATTGCATTATTTTGAATTGTGTTTCAGTCTAGGTTTTATGGCATGACTTTTACACATGCTTTGTTTAAAAAAGCAAAACAAACCATACCAAACCATTGCAGTGAATGTGGACATCTTGAATTAAGAAATTGGTAACCTTATTTTACATATGTCCAAAAAACTCAAGAAAACAAAAGCTTCCTAAGAAGTGTGCTTTTTAAGATTATACTCTTTATTACTAGAAGCAAAGTGAGAAATTTTATAGCATCTGCAGGAAATTATATTTGCAGAAAATTATTTTTTTTTATAATCTGTTGCCCTCTCTGAACCCCACACACAGCACTCCCCATGACCTTCTGACAGTTTCCTTCCTCCCTGATATAAGAACCAAAACAAAGTTACATAATCTGTTGAGTAATTTAAGATTTTGCTTTGGAAATTAAAATTTTCCATGAGTAACTTAAAACTATTTGTATACATTGTTCTCTCTTTGAATATGCAACTAAGTAAAAATACAAATCTCAGATTTAATTAAAACAGTAATGTAGCAACGGAAAACCTACAGGCCAAAATTCTTCTTGGTTCAAGGTTTAAATAAATGGGATGGGAGATGATGGCAGCCCTCTTCCAGTGAAAGAAAAAAATGGAAGATATTTATGCAAATGGAAAAATGTAAATAAGATGCCAGCAGTAAAGAGCAAACACTTACCTGGGTGATTGTGGAAAAGCAAACCTGAACCTTTCAATTTAAATCCCAATTTGAAACACACATCAGCAGAATTCCATTTAAGGGCTGGGGATTTAGCTCAGTGGCAAAAGCGCCTGCCTGCCAAGTGCAAGGTTGTGAGTTTGGTTCCCGGTACCGGAGAAAAACCAAAAAAAAAAAAAAAAAAAAAAAACAGAATTCCATTTAAATAGAGCTCTCTGGGTAGACCAGCAGCGTTTTCTGCTCAATATGCCCAAGAAAGCGTGTCACCAACTGTATTTCTGGCTCTTGGCTTTTTTGGAAGTGACTGGATCTAGGGTGTGTGATACTGGGAGTAAAGTGTGTGGTACTGGATTAGTCCACTAACTGGTTTATCATAGTTCTCTGTGTGGATAGTGGGGAGGCCTAACCTGGCTGTGGGTGGCACCATCCAAAAGGCTTGTGGGTTTCTTTGCAAATTTTGAATGAACAGTGTGCTCAAAGTGCCATGCCTGGTATGTGCCAGTCACATAGTTGCCTCCTGGAAGGCTCCACAGCCCCAATCCCACTCCTAGCCCACCTACCCACCTGACTCAATTACAGCTTCTTCCTCCTCAGGTTTTTGGCCCTCTGCTCATCCTTCTGCTCATTCCACAGAGCGCACCCAGGCTGTTTTGGAAGGGGAGTCTGTATTTTGTTTTCAAGTTGGAGGAGAGAAGAGACTCTTCCCCAGGTCTTACGTTTTGTTTTCTGGTTTTACTTAAGCAAATAAAGACAGTGTGTGATTGTAGGGAAGAATAAGGCTACATTATGGTTCAGGCTATGTGTAGGGGGATGCTTTCCAGACTACATTTAAATTCAGGTTAGTAGAATTCCAGCGCAGATGCATCTCATGGTCTCCTTGTAAATAACTCTTATAACCAAGGTCAGTACTGGCAAAGAGCTACTATTCTATATTTTTTGTATAAATCTAGACTGCTACAAGGGCTGCTGGGTTGGCTGGAGGACTGAATGCTGGTTGGGAAGAGCTGGGCAGATAAAATGAACTGAGCTGAGCTGAACTGCAGGGCAGCTTAAAGGTTTCTAACCCAGTTCATGGCTCTGCATCTCTGTTTTGGGCTGCCAGAATCTCAAGTGAACCTTCTCAGTCTAAAGTGGTGACAAGACAGTGATGAATTAAACAAACAAACAAACATCTGTCTGTCTGTCTCCCAAGGTGTACTTAGACCAGCTTATATCTTAAAGGTATAAAAGTACTAAAGCTATAAAAGTGCTAAAAATACTTCAGTGCCCTATCCTGGAGGCTGATCACAGTAACTGATCACAAAGAGTATATAATGCTTTATCGCAACCACAAACTTGGCTTAAAATGATAGTATTCTTCCTGCTAAACACTCATGGCAGTTAAAGGAAGCTGGCAGTACCTTTGAAGCGCAACGTGAGTGCTTGGGTCTTCTTGCACCTCAATTTCATGTGGAGCCTGATGCTGCATGTATCAGTGTCTGGAGTGCTGTGGAATGTATACACCCCACACAGTTGTGATGCATTCTCACAGACCACTTGAAAAAAGAACTTACCACCAAGGTTTTGAATCAGCCGGGTGGCATTGTTACCTTCATGTGAACCAAAAATACTTAGAGACACCTGAAGAAAAGAAATTATAGATAATTTTAGAAGAAGTGCAGTATAGTATGAGAAATGGAAAGAGAACTCAACTAAGACTGATGACCATTAGGACTGGAATTACACTCGTGGGATCCTGTCATAAAGCAGGAAGGTGACCGTTTCTTAGACACATTCATTTTTATACCCAGCCACTACGTGTACATGTGTTATAAAATAGTTGCTCCGTAGGTGTCTCTTTTTTTTTTTCCTCCGGTACTGGGAACCAAACTCACGACCTTGCACTTGCCAGGCAGGCGCTTTGCCTCTGAGCTAAATCCCCAGCCCCCATAGGTGTCTCTTACTTCTCTGTACCCCAACCTAGAGAGATCACAAAGACAGAATCAGGTACGTCTGTCTCAAGACAGTTGGAGAAGCCTCCCAGCAAACACTAAAAAGAACAGCATCTTCTTTCCAGATGTCTCACTCGAAGCATAGGAGAAAATAGATTTTAAAATAGAGTGACTTTTATAGCCATGTAGTTCCATCAATCTCAAGTAATTCTACAAGTACAAAGAAATCTCAGCCTACCACTTGCAATAGGTAAGGGGCACGAGGAAGCAGGATGCTTCACCTTCATCTCCACTTCTTGTCAAAGATGTTTGTGAGGATGAGAAGGGAAAAACCAGAAAGAAGTAATGAGAAATAACAGGACAAGCTGAACGTAATTTTACAAAAGAAGCAACACCTTCAGATGGAAGTGGAAGTGTTGAGTAGTAAAAAGTTCTGAAGGAACTCACTGAAAAACTGCAGAATATACAGAAAATGAATTGCATGATGAACATCCTCAAAGAACAGAAGAATTTTATGTTGAAAGGAAAGAAGTAGAGAAAATATTAGAACAGGAAATAAAGCAAAAATCGACCTGTAATTCAAATTTAGAAAAAACAAGAGCCTGAATGTGGGACATACTTATCAGATCAGAGACGGGACCATGTCGAGGCTGACAGACAAAAACTCCCAAGATAACTCAGGCAGGAACAGGAGGAAGACAGGAGGTAGAGATGATAAAAAAGAGCTGAAACTGCAACTTTGAAATCATCAAAGATTGTTAAAGAACAGAGACGTGAAGATGTTCGTCTGTGTATTACTGACAGTGTTCTTTTTGTGCTTGCTTTGGTAACCGAATTCTGAACATTTTGTATGCATGCCGATAACTAGACATTCAGTCATTTATAGATTAGAGAAAGTCAAGAGATTATATATTTGTATATCAATTTTTACATTTTCTAAATGAATGAAAGTGATTGTTTCTTTGTGTTTTTCCCCCAGTCAGCTTGGTAACAATAGTATATGGTTTCATCAAAATGTTAATTACCTATATTTCTAATGCAAAATGAACAACTCTATACTTTTCAAAAACTGCATTATGTGATGGAAAATAGCTGTGATCAATTTTGTTTGTCCATACTTTAGATTTAATTTTAGTTACAATGTTGGCATAGTTCATATGTAATCAGAGCTACTTGAGTAAAATCTTCATTTTTCTCAACACAATCTACTTCCTAAGTTGATATAGTGATGGAGACCAATGTGAAGCAGCTCCAGGCAGGATTTAAATTAATCAGTTGGCTTTTCATGTTCACTTGTGAATCTGTCCAAGGCCTAGGCTCCTTGTTTGGAACTGGGCATCGGACTTATAGTAAGTGAACCTCTGTGAGTCACTAATCCCTACTAAAGCCTGTAACGGTGGATGAAGCTGGAAAGCCTCAAAGGACAAAACAAGATCACAGCCAAAGACACCTGGATCTGATTTTAACTAGATAAAGACTGTAGCCTCAGGCATCTACTCCTGGGTGGATTAATTTAATACCTTACTAGGAGAAATCCTTGAGTGCTTCCGCCCTTCTTGATACTCCCCTACCTTCTTCCAACAACCAAATAAATATGGGCCACCCAGAGAAGGTCTTGGTCTTAGCTCCGAGAGAATCTCAAATTCTGTGAGAGGGCTTTGATCCTCCAGGAGCCCTGAAATCATTCCATTCACCTTTTTTTATTTAGCCTTTGCTGTACACTCGTTTGGGAGATTGTGGACCTGATCAGCCTGCAATAACTAAGGGATATTATTAACCTGATAATATAGTATACGCATACACAAACTTTGCTTTACTTTATTCAGACTGTGTATTACTGACAATGTTCAGTGTTGAGTAAATTCAGAATGAACTTACCCCATTTTTCTTCTTTTTCATGTCTTGTAAAAGAAATTTCATTGATGAAGTTATGGCACACTCCATGGACACAGTAGGGAAGGGTCACTTGCTTTGTTATGCATTGCTGCTAAATACGAGAAGCAGTTGAATTTGTCTTTTAGTTTAAATATGGTTTGTATTTAGATTTTTTTTTGCAGTGACTTCAGAAAAATAATATCTGAGCTTCTGTTAGTGGTATTAATAGTGGTTAGAAAATATTAAGTTCTTTTATTGATTTATTTTTGAAGGCAGGGTCTTGCTGTTTGGTTCAGGCTGGCCTTGAACTCACTATGTAGCCCAGGCTGGCCTCAAACTCAAAGTGATCCTCCTGCCTCAGCCTTCTAAGTGCTAAAGATAAAGGAATGCACTATTCTGCCTGGCAAAATATTAATATTGAGAAAAACTGATTATGTTGATGTATATTAGTTTCTATATGATCCATAATCTTCCTCTTCAGTTTTTATATGTAGTTATGGGTCTTGTTGAAATTTATATAATGGATTTATTTCCTTTAAATTACGAAATATTGCCGGGCATGGTGGTGCATGCCTGTAATCCCAGCACTTGGGAGGCTGAGGCAGGAGGATTCTTGCAAGTTCGAGACCAGCTTGGGCTACAAAGTGAGCTCAAAGCCAGCCTGAAAAGCATGGTGAGACACTGTCTCAAAAAGACAAAAACCAAACCAAACAAAACAAAAACCAAATAAATTATAAAATATTAAACACTTTGAAAATATTAAAAAAATGAATTTCTCCTCAGCTCACCAGGGTTCTTAAGTATTCCTGGTAGGTCTGTTTGAAAGCAAGGCATAATGGTTGAGTATCCTTTATCCAAAATACTTGGAAACAGAAATGTTTAAGATTTTAGAATGTTTGCATATACATAATGACATAACTTTGGGATAGGACCCAAATTTAAACATAAATTTTGTTTTGTGTAGGTAGCCTGAAGGTAATTTTACATGTTGTTTTAATGTGCCTGTGTGTTTTCATTTTTGTGAATTTTGGGGGTTGGGGATTGAATCTAGGGCATCACATGCTAGGCACACCCCTCTAGCCCAGAACCTCCAGTTCTGGGCCTGTGTAGAATTTTCCATCACTTCAGCCTTCAAAACTTATGGATTTGGGAGCATTTTAGATTTTCCTATTAGGGACATATACTGGTAAAAAGTAATGATAATAATTGATATCAATTTTTTTTTTTTTTTTTTTTTTTTTTTTTTTGTACTGGAAATCGAACTCAGGACATTGTGCTTGCCAGGCAGGCGCTTGTGCCGCTGAGCTATATCCCCGGCCCTGATACTAATTTCTGAGTTCTAGGTGCCAGTCACTGCCCTAATGTGTCATAATTTATAATTTATTTAATCTTTCAGCAATTCCTATAAGGTACATACTTTTAATATACCTGTTTTACAGGTTGAAAAATTGCACCATTGCGTTAAATAATTTCCCATGGTCATTTAGATACTAAATAAAAAAGTCAGGATTTGATTCTAAGCATTTGCATTATAGAGGTTCCACAGATTACCCCTTTAGCATCTTCATCCTCAAAATTCTGCACAGTTAACATCAAGCAATAGTGTAAGGTGGGCCTGGAGGTACACGCCTGTAACCCCCGCACTCAGGAGGCTGAGGCAGGAGGTTCGCTGTGAGTTCAAGGCCAACCTGGGCCACAAAGTGAGTTTAAGGCCAGCCTGTACTGCATAGTGAGACCCTGTCTCAAAAAAGACCAAAAAAAAAAAAAACAAACCAAAAAACCAAAAAACCAAAAAACATTCTGCAAGGATCCAACT